GTTCCTGGTGCGAGGGTAGACGGGGGTTTGGATTCCCGCTTGTGCGGGAATGACGACTTATTGGTCCTTCGGCGTTTAAGACGCGATTGCCCTGGAAGAATGGATGACGTAAATGCGGGTGAAATCCAATACTGCTAGAATAGGCGCAGCTTGGGCTGGCGCTGGGCCAGCCATCATTTTCTATGAAAATATAGAGGGCCGCATGACTGCAATTGACCTGCGCAGCGACACTGTAACAAAGCCGACCGACGAGATGCGGAGCGCCATGGCCACGGCCGAGGTGGGCGACGACGTATTCGGAGAGGACCCGTCGATCAACGAGCTGCAGGAACGCTCGGCGGCCCTGCTGGGGAAGGAGGCCGGTCTGCTGACGTCGAGCGGCACGATGAGCAATCTCATAGCCACGCTGGCGTGGAGCAACCACGGGGACGAGATAATTATGGGCACGGAGGCCCACATGTTCTGGAACGAGAGCGCCGGACAGGCCGCGCTGGGCGGGGTGCAGACCCGGCTGGTGCCCAACGACAGCCAGGGCCGGATCAACCCAGACGACGTTGCTGCGGCCATCCGTCCGTCGGGCAACCTGCACTTTCCTCGCACCAGCATGATCTGCCTGGAGAACACTCATAACCGCTGCAGCGGCGGTGTGCTGACACCGGAGGACACCAAGTCGGTGGGCGACGTGGCCCATGCGGCCGGTGTTCCGGTCCACTTGGACGGCGCCCGTATATTCAACGCCTCAGTGGCCCTCGAGGTACCTCCGGCAGAGCTGGCGCGGGACGTAGACGACCTCAGCTTCTGCCTCTCCAAGTCGCTCAGTTGCCCCGTAGGTTCCGTTTTGGTGGGGTCCCAGGACTTCATCGACAACGCCAAGCGATGGCGCAAGATGCTGGGCGGCGGCATGCGGCAGGCAGGGGTTCTGGCGGCCGCCGGACTCGTAGCCCTTGACACCATGATCGACCGGCTGGCAGAGGACCACCAACACGCAAAGAGGCTGGCCGCCGGGCTCGCCAACATCGACGGGCTTACAGTTGATCCCGAGAGCATCCAGACCAACATCGTATTCTTCGAGGTTGATGAGGACCTGGGAACTGCCGCCGATCTGATTGCCGCCCTCAACCGCAACGGTGTGCTGGTTTCGTATCCCGGCAAGCAGTCCATTCGCATGGTTACCCATCGGCACATCAGCCCAGAGGACATCGAAGAAGCGCTGTCGCGCACGTCGGCTGCGGTGCGGGAACTGCGGTCAGCCGCGTAGGAAGGGAACGAGATGGCTGAAATCGTCCTGGACAAGAGCCGCACCGCCCTGCTCATCGCCGACTTCTACGAGGCGATGATGACCACCATTCCTCATGCCGTTGACCGCGGCGTGGTGGAGAGGACCGTCGCGCTGCAGAAGGCAGCGCGAGACGCGGGTGTGATGGTTTGCTACTGCGCCACCGTTTTCCGGCCCGGCTACCCGGAGATCGGATCCCGCAACAAGACCTTCGGCCAGCGCAAGGCGTCGGGCCAGCCTGCGGTATTTGACCCTCTGGACGTCATTCATCCCGCCGTTGCCCCAGCAGAGGGCGAAGTTGCGGTGGGCAAGCACCGGGTCAACGCGCTCTACGGCACGGGTCTGGACGTGGCGCTGCGGGCAAACGACATCAACACGCTGGTCATCCTTGGCTATGCCACGAGCGGAGTGGTGCTGTCCACCGTCCGGTATGCCTCCGACCTGGACTACAACCTGTACGTGGTTGAGGACTGCTGCTCAGACTCCGACCCGGAAGTCCACGATTTCCTGACCGGCCGCCTCTTCCCGCGACAGTCGGAGGTGGTGCAGTCGGCGGACGTCATCGCGGCCTTGGCTGGCTGATGTCCGGTGATTCCGGCAACGGAGAGGGCCGGAGAGGGAAACTGAGGATTCGCACCCGTTACATCGCCTATCTTGCCCTAGCGGTCGCCATAGGCCACGTGATCTACGCCATTCTCAGAGACCACGTCTTTCACGCCTCCCCGATCCTGGGATGACTGCTGCGACTCAGAGCCAGAGCGAAAGCATGCACCTGCCCGCACACAGGTTCCTCGAAGAAAGGGGCATCCCACATCGTCGGCTGGAGTTCCCGCCCGAGACGGAGAAGGGAGCCGCCAACGTTGCCCACGCACTGGGCTTCTCCGAGGCCCAGGCGGTGAAGACCCTGATCTTCGAGACGTCAGCGGGCGAGCGAGCCCTGGTGATGCTGGGTGGCGACAAGAACGCCATCTCGGGCCGACTGAAGCGGGCGCTGGGGTCGCGAAACATACGGTTGGCCGACCCGGAGACGGTGAAGGCGGTAACCGGATACGAGATCGGGTCCATCCCGCCATTCCACTGGCAGCCGCCGGGTTTCCGCTCCGTAATCGACGCTTGCCTGATGAACGAGGAGGAGTTGGGCGTTGGCGCCGGCGTCTGGGGCCAGGAGATCATGATCACCCCCGCGAACCTCGTGGCGGCGTGCAACGGCGAGGTCTTCGACCTGAGCGGTGCGGCGTAGGTGCTGTTAACCCTAGGCAGACGCCCGATTTCTAGTCGATTGTCTCACCGGGATCTTCTACTTCCCACCAACGGCGGAGACGCTCTGCGATTTCTTTTTCGGCGCCCTCCGTTCCGGGATAGTAATAGCGGCGGCCCTGGAGCTGGGTCGGCAGGTAATCCTGAGGCTCGAAGTGGCCATCATAGTCGTGGGAGTACTTGTAGTCGCGGCCGTAGCCCATGTTCTGCATCAGGCCGGTCACAGCGTTGCGAAGGTGGATAGGCACCGGGTCGTTGGGCAGGCGGCGGACGTCGGCCATTGCCTCGTTGAGGGCGGCGTAGGCGGTGTTGCTCTTGGGGGCAGTGGCTAGGTAGACCGTGGCCTCGGCCAGCGGGATGCGGCCCTCGGGCATCCCGATTAAGTGGACGGCCTGCTGGGCCGCCACGGCTACCGGGAGGGCCTGCGGGTCGGCGAGGCCGATGTCCTCGGACGCCAGTATGACGAGGCGGCGCGCGATGAACATCGGGTCTTCTCCGGACTCGATCATCCGGGCCAGCCAGTAGAGGGCTCCGTCGGGAGAGGAGCCTCGGACAGATTTGATGAACGCGGATATGGTGTCGTAGTGGTTGTCGCCCGCCTTGTCGTACATGGGTGAGCGACGTTGCAGGGCGTCGGCGATGGTGCCCCCGTCGAGGTGCCTGTTGCCGTCTGTGTCGGGTTGGGTGGCATAGGCCGCAGTTTCCAGGGCGTTGAGGGCGATTCGGGCGTCACCGGTGGCGATATTGACGAGGTGCTGCATAGCATCAGGGGCGATGCTGACTCCCATGCCTCCGAGACCGCGTTCGGGGTCTTCGGCGGCCCGGTTGACGATGGCCTCGACATCTTCGGGAGCGAGACTCTGCAGGGCGAAGACTCTGCTGCGGGACAGCAGCGGGGCGATGACTTCGAATGAAGGGTTTTCGGTGGTGGCACCGATCAGCGTCACGGTGCCATCCTCGACGTGGGGTAGGATGACGTCTTGCTGGGCCTTGTTGAAGCGGTGGATCTCGTCGACAAACAGGATGGTCGCCTGGCTGTGCATTCCGCGGCGGTCTCGGGCCGCGGCTACGATCTTGCGGAGGTCGGCCACGCCAGACGTGACGGCGCTGACCGGCTCGAAGGCTGCCTGGGTGGCGTTGGCGATGAGGCGGGCGAGGGTGGTCTTGCCGATGCCGGGCGGTCCCCAGAGGATGAAGGACGGTAGTTGCCCGGCGGCGATGGCCCGGAACAGCACCCTGTCGCGGCCCACTACCTGTTCCTGTCCGACATACTCTTCGAAGGTGCGCGGGCGCATCCGATCGGCGAGGGGCGCGTTACGCTCGGCGTCCATGCGGCGCTGACGGTCGAAGAGTGACTCGCCGGGGCTTTGTTTTCTGCTAGTCATCGACATCCCGGGCGAAGCGGATTCCCAATTCCAATGACAGGCGTTTAGCCAAATTGGGGCATTACTTTCTCGGCGAATAGACTCATTGAGGCTTGCACGTCCTCGTGGGGGATCATGCCGCCGGTGTTGAACCAGCAGATGAAGCCGTCGGGGCCATACATTCCCTTAAACTTTTCCAGCTTATCGGCGACCTGTTCCGGTGTGCCTACCGCGGCGTACTCGTCGAGAACGGTCTCGTAGTCCAAGGTCTGGGCACGGGCCGAGCCTCGTCCGGAACCGCCCCGCAGGGTGCCCAAGTAGTTGTTGATGGTTTTTTCAAATCCGTTGCGGGCCTTCGTTTCATCCTCGGCGACGTTGACGTGAACAGTCACATTCACGGAGCGGTTCGCTGGATCGTGGCCGTTGCTTTCCAGCTCCGCCCGATAGGTTTCCAGCCCAGTCAACGCGCCCTGTGAGGAGACGATAGTAGGCGCAACAAGGACGTTGTGTCCCAGTTGACCGACGAGGTTAAAGGTATCGGGGCTGTTGGACGCAATATAGACCGGCGGATGAGGCTTCTGGATGGGCTTGGGCGACAAGTTGATGCCCTCAACCTGATGGTATTGCCTTGGTAGTTATAGTCGTCGTTGGCCCACATCCCCAGCACCATTTCCAGCCCTTCGGTGAACCTCTCGCGAGCTTCTTCCTGGTCGACGGCGTAACCTTGGAAATGGGAGGGGATGGCGCCCCGCCCGATGCCAAAAATAGACCTGCCACTGGATAGGACGTCGAGCGCCGCTGCCTCTTCGGCCAGGCGTATGGGCTGGTGCAAGGGCACCAGATGAACGGCGGTGCCAATGCGGATGCGGCTGGTGGTCTGGGCCATGGCTGCTCCGACGACCATGGGGCCGACATCACCGAAAAGCGTGAGTTGAAGTGGAGCTCGGCCAGCCAAGCAGCGTCGAATCCCAACTCGTCGGCCAACTGAACCTGGGCGATGGTGTCCTGGTAGCGCTGAGCCGGGGACTGGTCTTCCGCGCAAGGCAACTGGTAGAAAACGCCGAATTTCATCGATGGTCCCTCAAAGGCAATATCTACCCCGATTCTACACTACGAAACAGGGGCGGGTTTCACAACTCGCCCCTGTTTACAGGGTAATCGCGTCTTATTTGTCAGCACACAAAATTGGTCTGAATGGCGGTGGAGATGGGATGTGCATGCCTCCTCCTCTGTTCCGGTTGCAAGGGTAGTAGACGGGGGTTTGGATTCCCGCCTGCGCGGGAATGACGACTTATATGGCCTCCGGCGTTTAAGACGCGATTGCCCTGCCCCTGTTTAGCGTGACCTGCAGATATACGTCCTACAAAGGAATGTTGCCGTGCTTTTTGGGTGGCATGGTGTCGCTCTTGGTCTGCAACATTTCCAGGGCTCGGATTATCTGGGGGCGGGTTTCTGCCGGATCGATTACATCGTCCAAGAAACCTCGGCCGGCTGCTATGTACGGAGTTGTGAACCGGTCCTTGTAGTCGTCGATCAGCTCCTGGCGGGTCTGGTCCGGATTCTCTGACTTGGAAATCTCATCGCGGTAGATGATATTCACTGCGCCTTCGGCACCCATCACAGCGATTTCCGCTCCGGGCCAAGCGAGATTGACGTCGGAGCGCAGGTGCTTGCTGCTCATCACGATGTAGGCTCCCCCGTAGGCCTTACGCGTGATCACCGACACCTTGGGAACCGTGGCCTCGGCGTAAGCGAAGATCAGCTTGGCTCCGTGACGGATGATGCCGCCGTATTCCTGGGTCACTCCGGGCAGGAATCCCGGCACGTCCACGAACGTAACGAGCGGAATGTTGAAGCAGTCGCAGAAGCGGACGAATCGCGCCGGCTTTAACCGATGCGTCAATATCCAGCACTCCGGCAAGATAAGCGGGCTGATTGCCCACTATGCCCACGGGGCGTCCATTCATTCGGGCAAAGCCCACGATGATGTTGGGCGCGAAGGTCTGGTGGACTTCCATGAACTCCTCGTGGTCGACCACCTTGTAAACAACATCGCGCATATCGTATGGGCGCCCTGGCTCCTCAGGCACCAGGTAACGCAAGTCGGGCTCGCGGCGGTCCGCCGGGTCATCCGCGGGATCAAGCGGAGGGTCATCGACGTTGTTCCCCGGCAGGTAACTGAGCAGGTGCCTGACCTCGTTGATACATTCCTCTTCCGTTTCGCAGACGAAGTGTGCAACTCCACTGCGAGTGGCGTGGGTTGCCGCGCCGCCCAGCTCCTCGTGCCCAACTCCTCACCGGTAACAGCGCGTATGACGTCCGGGCCAGTGATGTACATCTGGCCGATTTCCTTAACCATGAAGATGAAATCGGTGATGGCCGGTGAATAGACCGCTCCGCCAGCCGCCGGACCGACAATCACGGTAATCTGCGGCACTACGCCTGAATACAGCGTATTGAGTAGGAAAATGTCGCCATAGGCAGCAAGGCTCAACGCGCCCTCTTGGATCCGGGCGCCACCAGAGTCGTTGAGGCCTACGACCGGACATCCCGCTTTGGCGGCCAAGTCCATCACCTTGCAAATCTTCTGGCTGACGACCTCAGAAAGGGAACCGCCCATCACTGTGAAGTCCTTGGCGAAGGCGAACACCTGCCGTCCCTCCACCTTTCCGTAGCCGGTGACAACTGCATCCCCCAGCGGTCTCCTGTCGCCCAGTCCAAAGTCGGTGATGCGATGCGTTACGAACGGGTCAAGCTCATGAAACGTACCCTCGTCCATAAGGCGTTCGAGCCGTTCCCGGGCGGTGTACTTACCCCGGCTGTGCTGCTGGTCGATTCGATTCTGGCCGCCGCCCAGCCGGGACTCGCGGCGCATGGCCTCGAGGGTTTCCAGCTGCTGGTCTATCTGCCTTTGCTCCGCGGTCACGATTCCTCTCCTAGCTGCCAGCACCTTCCATAGCCAAAGTTACGGCATCCTGATTGGCAGTCCGCATTCTATCTTGCATCCCTGCCCCGCGCCATGCGCGGTGTTAAAATTCAAAAGGAACCAAACCAGGGGCTGAGTGAACCCTGTAACGTTTGAAGAAAGAAATGGCTTTTGGACTGTCGACATTGACGGGAATTCTCGTAGCAAACGCGCTAGGCCCTGATACTAGGGGTCCAGCGACATACGTCATGGCCGTCATCAACACTCACGCCAGCAGACTCGTTTCCGAAGCGATGGACCTTAGGCAGGGGGATAGTTCAGTGCTCTGCAGTGAACAGTCCCTTAAGATTCGAGGTGTGATGTGAGGGTACTTTCTCGAAATCGGCGCGCTGAGTAAATCCACATCGTCAGGTCTATCTATTTAAAAGTGTTTAATACATTTTTACGTGGGTATAATAAGCCTTCTTTAAATTTTGATACGAAATATAAACGTCAGAACCAACTACCATCAAAATCTATTAGAACATTCGTCTATACCACCCACCGCAGCCGCGCTTCCCCAGCCGGTTCTGTTCGCCCACCATATGCTGGCCTACTTTGAAATGTTCCAGCGTGACATAAGTCGACTGGAGGACACTCGCCGACGGGCCGACGTTTTGCCCTTGGGCAGCGGCGCACTGGCTGGCGTACCCTACCCCACGGACAGGGAGTTTCTGGCCCGCGAGTTGGGATTTTCAGCCATCAGCGCCAACAGTATGGATGCGGTCTCTGACAGGGACTTTGTGGCGGAGTATATGGCAGCGGCGGCGCTGTGCATGATGCATTTCTCCCGGATGTCCGAGGAGCTGATTCTCTGGTCCAGCGGTGAATTTGGGTTCATACGCCTGTCCGACGAGTTCACCACTGGCAGCAGCATCATGCCGCAGAAGCGGAACCCCGATTTTGCCGAGCTGGCCCGGGGAAAGACCGGGCGTGTCTACGGCAATCTGATGGGACTGTTGACCACGCTGAAAGGCCTGCCGCTTACATATAACCGGGATCTGCAGGAGGACAAAGAGGGTTTCTTCGACACCGTGGACACCCTGCAGACAACCATTGAGGTGTTCACTGCCATGCTCCCGGGGCTAACGCTGCAGACGGACAGGGTGGAGTCGCTGGCTGGCGAGAGCGGCATGCTGGCCACCGACCTGGCCGATTACCTGGTGGTAAAGGGAGTACCCTTCCGCGAAGCACACGGCATCATGCGGGAGTTGTGCCGGGCGTGCGACGAGCGAGGCATCGGACTTCAGCAACTGCCACTTCAGGAATACCACAGGTATTCCCCACTCTTCGAGGCCGACGTTTACGGCATCACAGCGGAGGGTTCTGCAGCCGCCCGCAATATACCCGGTGGCACCGCGCCGGATCGAGTAGCCGAAGCGCTGGCACAAGCGGGAACAGGTACTGGAGGCATCGAGCATTGCAACAAGCGGTTAATGAGGCAAGGGTGCTCATCGCTCCGTCGGTGCTGTCGGCCGATTTCGGGCGGCTGGCCGAGCAGGTGCAGGCAGTCACAGAGGCCGGGGCCGACCTGATTCACGTCGACGTCATGGACGGCGTGTTCGTCCCCAACATATCATTCGGAGAGGTGGTCGTGGATGCCATCCGGAAGTCCACGCATCTGCCCCTGAACATCCACCTCATGATCCGCGAACCCGACGCCCTCCTCTCTACATTCATCAAGAGGGAGACCGATCAGGTATTGGTCCATGCCGAGGCGTGCCAGCATCTGCACCGCACCGTTTCCAGCATCAAGGAACAGGGCAACGAGGTCGGCGTCGCCATCAACCCCGGTACCCCGATAGGTGCTGTCGAAGAGGTGTTGCCGCTGTTGGACATCGTGATGGTGATGTCCGTGAACCCAGGATTTGCCGGCCAGTCGTTTATCCCGGAAAGCGTGGAAAAGATCCGGCGCCTGCGAAGCATCATCGACGATGGCGGCCTGTCTGCCCAGGTGGAAGTCGACGGCGGAATCAAGTCCGACTGGACTGCCCAGGAGTCGGTGAAGGCGGGGGCAACGATCCTCGTCGCCGGCAGCGCTATTTTCAACGACCGGGAGACGGTGCCGGAGGCGATGCATGGTATGCGGGGGTGTCTGGCAGGAATCGCCTGGCGCCCCGCGAGTTAAAAAATCAGGGCCGACTGAGCGTCGGCCCTTGTATCTTCTGGGTCAGGAGTACCAGTGAGAAAATTGGGTGGCTTTAGTTGCTCAGCTGCACCAATTGTCTCTGCTGTTGGATGATCCCGGGGGTTAAGGAACTTGCTACAAAGCCCTGACTTACTTCAGGGCGGCGAAGGCCTTGCGGACCTTGGGGGACTTGTGCAGCGAGCGGAGGCATCGGCTGCAGATTTTCACGGTGACGGGCGTACCGTCGCGGTCCAGGGTCTGCTTGTGTACGTTGGCCTTGAAGCGTGTCTTGGTGTGCCGGTTGGAGTGGCTCACGTTGTTGCCGCTCATTCCCGACTTCAGGCAAATCTGGCAGCGCATTTTTCAATCCCTCTTGAGCCGCTGCCAGATACCATTGCTGACGCAGCGGCGCGATTGTTCAATAGATGTTTCAGGTTAGCACACAGCTATCGCCAAATTCAAGAACGGTTCCCAGCGCCCTTGGGTATTTAGCCGTCGTTGCCCAATGGCCAGTCCCATAATATCGCCGTCAGTGCTGGATTTCGGGGCTGTGGTAGAATTTAGGTTCATATACCTATTTCATTGCTTTACCTAGGATTCCCAGAGGGGCTATGCCGAGCAACTTCTGGATGATAGTGAACCACGAGAGAAACTTCCGGATCACGCAGGATCTTGGTTTCTCCCTGATTGGTCTCAAGGCCCAACACCGACGCAAAGTTCAGCGAATAGCCGACGGCGACCGCATCCTCATGTTTGTGACCCACATTCGCCGTTTCGTCGGCACAGCTACTGCCACGTCCGACTATTTCGAGTCCGACGACCCTGTCTGGGAAAGAGAGGGTAAGGCAAATTTCCCCTATCGCGTCGGGATCCGTTCCGATATCGCGCTAAGGGACGAGCAATTCATGGATGCCAACCAGATCGCGCCGAGGCTGGAGTACGTGAAGCGCTGGGCGCCCGAGGACTGGCATCTGGCATTTCAGGGCAACCTGCACCTGCTTCCGAAGAGTGACTTTCTCCTCATCGAGGAGGAGATGAAGAAGCTGCACTTCGGCAGGGACTACCAGCCCACGCCGATCACTCCTTCCCGTACCCAGCAGCGCCGCCGCCGCTCTGGGCCCCGGCCCAACGGACAGGCTCCGCGCTCGCCTGCCGCGACCGGCCAGAGGTCAGAGCCCCCGCTAGTTCGTCGAGGGCCGCCTTGATCTCCTCCAGCGCCCCGGAGTCGGTTTCTCGGGCAGCAGCCTGAACCAGGGCGGACGCCGCCGGAGTCCCGCCTATGCGACCCAAGGCCCACGCCGCGTGGCCGCGAACCAACGGTTCGTCGTGCTCGAGAGCCCGGGCCAGCGCAGGAACCGCATCGGTGTCTCCCGCGTTTCCCAGGGCCACGCAGGCGTTTCGCTGCAGCCCAACCCTTTTCGCCCGCATGACGGAAGTACCGGCGAAGCGCGAACGGAATTCAAACTCTGACATTTCCAGTAGCTCCACCAGGTCCAGCAAAGCCGTCGTCCGTCCTTCCTTATGTTGTGCAACAGGGGTGATGGGCTGGCCCGCCTCCTGTGCCTTGCGGTTGACCGGACAGACGTCCTGGCAGATGTCGCAGCCGAACACCCAGTCCCCAATCAGCGGCCTGAGTTCACTCGGAATCGGGCCACGGTTCTCGATAGTCAGGTAAGGAATGCAGCGAGTGTTGTCCACCACATAGGGAGCGACGATCGCACCCGTTGGGCAGTCCTCGAGTGCACCAACGAACGCAGGC